ACAACAACTTAATTTTCCCATTTAATGCCAAATGTTTGTTGAAATATGAAATAATTTTTCATAATTTTGTCTGCCGGAGTTTTTGCCGGAGTTTTCCAACTCCGGCTCCGGCAAAATATGCCGGAGGTCCGGCTCCGGCACTCCGGCTCTAAAAGTCACACAAATCGACTAGATGTTCCAACACAAGAGGCAGCACCAGAGCATAGAATATATAATAGACCAGAGGATGCCCATGTTCATGCCGATGATGATGCACCCATGTTACAGTAATGCAAGCCAATTTTACATTGCAAAGCTTTTTGGAACAAATTACCGGTTTTACATATTTATTCATGTTCTCTAACTCTTCTATGTAGATATATTATGCAACAATGAAGCACTTTAACTTTGGCATATTTCATTTTTGTAATCAAATATGTTGTAAACTTAAGTAAATTCATTAGTCATTTTCTAAATCAAAATCTTTCTAAAATATCTTAGTGACTTTATAAAAAATTCATCAATGTCTCAACAGGACTTTGGTTAATAGGCTTCTTGATTTTGTCGTTAGGCGTGAGGTTTTAGATGGGATGGGGCACTGGGCAGGAGTTAAAAGGTTAGAATTGACTGGAATGATGTGCAAAATTGAGCAATTGCATGTCCAAGAAGTGTCCCAAATAGTCAAACCAGACTCCTTTTGCTATTTGGCAAAGGTGTGAAAGCCGAGTTTCTGGCGCCTGAAAACCAGTTTGCTCTTTTTCGGCCTTCCACAGGCTGTCCATATCGAAATCACAAGTTTTCCATAATGTATGGTTAGTAATATGTGTTTCTGAGGCATGCTGATGAGCCCTGACATTGGGCAAAACAGTCATTTTCATACTCCATCTTATTATAAACAATGAAGTTCAATTTAATTATAACTACAACAGTACAAGGAAATTAAGAATTCCACAATAAAGAGTCAAGATTACAGCATGCAATTTTTTTTAATATATCATAACTAGAAGTTACTATCGCAAGGAACGCGCTGCCTCACCCCAAGGGGTCAAAGGCAGCATGCATAATTTGCTGAATAAGAGGCTGTTTATATGATCCCACTTTGCCAGGATGAGATATGAGGCGGGATGATTTCGATGTATTGAAATAAGTCACGATGCATGATTCAGCAAAAAACTTTATTTTCTAGAGATGGATTATAGTTAACTGTAAACGATTGTGATGTTACTCTGAATGTATATCCACACCATATATATCTTATATACACTAGATAGCGCATCTCTTTTAGTAGAATTGAAGCCAAGAATATTCCAGCAGTTACCTCCATTTGAGTAGATGGCGGCCATGTTGGTCGTTCCCTCTTGCTAATAAACGCTTAAAAACAACATTAACTTTCATCATTTGAATAGTTTAAAGACGTATTTGGAATAGGGTTAACTTAATGTTTAAGTTCCCTGTTAAGTTAAGAAATAGAAAACATATGAATCTTCTCATTTTATGTGAACGACCTGAGACTGCAATCACGGCTTCAATTTTTGAATTTCAGAATAATTAGATGCACTATCTAGTGTATATAAGATATCTATGATCCACACCAGGCAAGCTTGAAAACTGTATGCCTGATCACGGTGGGAATCGAACCTACAGCCTTTGGAATACCAACACAGAAAAAATATCATAATAAGGTTACAAAAGTACATTATGCACCATGTTACTTATTGTAATCGCGGAAACCACTGAGAATTTTCATAAAATACAATACAACGGTAACTCCGAATAAAGTAAACATTTTGATTCACCGTTTCGACTTTATTTAGTCATCATCAGGAATCACGTTGTATTGTATTTTACTTATTCTCCTCACCTTTCCTTTTTAGTTCTTTTCTTAGAGTTTACTCTGCTGCTTTTTGCTGAATCTTAAACTTGTTTATAATCTTTTATATAGCATTTGCATATGAGAAGCTACAAACCCTCAAATGAAGTTTTAATATGTTTTCCAGGCAAGGTTTTTGTGTTTGTTTTGAAGTTTCCTGACCACAATCCTGTATTATATTTTCCCAGAGCGATTTTAGCAATGGTGAGTCAAGAGCATCATTGCATAATTTGTCAGACGGGATACTCTTCACAATACTGATCTGCTTTTCTATGAATTGCCGGAATATATGTGATCAAATGCATTTGATCAAAAGCTAGCATTCTACAACCTCCAGTATCTGGACCAAATTTTTACAGGGTGTCACCAGGCCGTCGCGGCTGCGTCAAGTTTTGTTCATTTATCCCGCATGTCGCCATGGTATTTTTATTAATCCCACTTCCCGCGATGGAGTAAAATTTAGACGCATCCCGCAAAACCGGTACAGGCCCCTCTCTAGCAGGATGTGGCTATACTAGTTGGATTGCAAAGAGACAGATCATTTTATATTATTTTGATTTTTTCGATTCAATTGGATTTCAACATTTTCAAAATGAACCGGAATTTATTTCACAAGCAACCTCTTCACAATAAATACAAATTTGCTGTGAGTTCAATTATAACTTCAATAACGCATGTGCACTGACCTTGCACACCTATATTATTATACAGTTCATTAGTTCACTAATTACCGATCATTTTTATATATTATCTGATTCCTGTTGTCAATCCGTGCATTAAATAAAGAAACTTCAAGTTTCATTGTCGCCCTTGTCACAATGCTGCCCACACATAGCGCCTTTCTACGCCATGTTTCCTCGCTTTATATAATCACAGATTCCGTAAATAAATTCATTACTCATGCCCGGTTATAAAGCCTGTATCCCACTTAAATCATATCAAATCGTACCGAAACTTAAAGGCCGATAATACACCACACAACTTTTGCCTAAAACTGTCGCATGCAACCTGCTTACAACTTGAGTTGTACTGTGTAAATCAAACACACACAATGACACAACTCGCCTACGTTGTCGTGAGTCAGTGAGTGCTTGATTTACGCAGTACAACTCAAGTAAGGTTGCTGCGACTGTTTTAGGCTAAATTTGTGTGGCATAAATCGGCCATAAAGTAACATATTTCTTTGTTTCCTGGGCACTATATATAGTCGCCCACCATGCCATCAATTCTTTGTTTGCAATGACGCAATTTTGGGATTTCAGTTGGCGGGCAGGTATCACAAAAACGGCTATATTTTAATGTATTGATCGAGTTCAGAGACATTTTAAGACTCAAAAGATGAATTACCGTTCAGTTTTTCTTGCTATAACCATTCTGATAGGAGAAAATCGTCCACAAGTTGAGTTTGATTGCCCGTCATTTGGATGGAACGTCACGTGATTGCAAACAAAGAATAGTACAAAAATTGGCCAAGACACAGCTGACGTAGCAAATAAATGCCTGTACGCAGGCTCTGACGTGGCCTATTTGATGTGTTTTTGTAATACATGGATAGCATTAATGACGTCGACTCAAACGGAATACTACGATACGTTACGATAGGATTGGAAGTCTTGGAACATACATAATCTTCAAAGTCGCGATGGACCGTGTCGTAGGCTAAGAATATATTACTGTATCCAGAGAGGATTAATCATAGGCATAGCCCCTCCGTTAAATCATGGCCGATAATCGTCTTATTTCGCTCTGCGATTCATTTTCGTATAACTCTCTTGTAAAATTTTGCAAATGGTAAAGTCTGATCAGTAATGTTCACGATTCTAGCTACTTTTCATTTTCAATGTTTTATATACAGACATTAATAATTCGTATCTTCTTTGTCTTTTGATATATTATGTCCAGTTATTCTATATAGCTCGTGGTTTGATAATCTTTGATGCATTCCATTGTATCATGTTCGTTTACTGGTTCTCGTATTGTGTTCGGTTAATCTTCGCAGTCCTCTCGGACTGAGCCGTATGCCGTTCACCTGTCTCCATCTTTTACCAAGGCAACTCAAAACCTGCACACCCTTAAATATGTATTTTCTTGGAGTGCCTTGCCAGGTGACTTGGGTTGTTAAAAGCTCGCCCGCACGCCTGACATTTGTAAGGCTTCTCGCCCGTGTGTGTGAACATATGTCGGCGCAGGTTGCCCGAGATTGAGAAGCGTTTGTCACAAAGTTCACACGCGTAAGGTCGTTCCCCCGAGTGGGTTCGGAGGTGTATCACCAGGGCACTTGGTTTCTTGAACCGCATACCACATTCTTTGCACATGTGACGTTTGTTTTCTACAAGAGAAAAGGGGCTATTTATTATTAAAATTAACTACATGATAAACTAAATATTATATTTCATTTCTATTAAAATTATTGAGACTGAAATAACCGAAATGGATTTTTGTCCCACCTATAGGCAATTCCAGCTTTTAAATTATGCGCGCAGGGGATGACGGGAAGTAAGGTATCATATTGCTGATTATGCTGAAAAATTTCAATAAAAACTGCCGAAACAAGCAAAATATTTCAAGTATAAGCTGTTACTCCGTGTTTACACGGTCGCCATTTTATTTTTTCAGCATAATCAGCAATATGATACCTTACTTCCCATCGCCCCCTACACGCATAAACTAAAAGCTAGAATTGCCTATTGTTTTGGCATATTTGTGACATTATTAACCCATATTATCATTATTAAAATCAAACAGTGTGAAGCTAGCTGTGGCAACTGGTCATGCTATGCTAATGAATATGCATCTAAATTGGTTAAAGACAATACATTTCTAAAGGCTTAAATAATGCAAATGATTAAGAATTTACATAACATGACCTGTTGCTATGGCTGGCTTTATGGTACAGTAAAAACCTGCATGAAAGAATCAGTAGGTTAAAATAACTACTATCACCAAACACCATCATTACTACCATCATCATAACCACCACCCACCATCATCATTACTACCACCCGGCACCCACCATCATCATCACCACCTACCATCATCATTACCACCCACCATCATCACTACCACCATCATCACTACCATCATCATTATCACCACCCACCATCATCATTACTACCATCATCACTACCACCATCATCACTACCATCATCATTATCACCACCCACCATCATCATTATCACCACCCACCATCATCATTATCATCACCCACCATCATCACCACCACCCACCATCATCATTACTACCATCATCACTACCACCATCATTATTACCACCCACCATCATCACCACCATCATCATCATCATCATCACCACCCACCACCATCATTACTACCACCATCATCACTACCACCCACCATCATCATTACTACCATCATCACTACCACCATCATCACTACCATCATCATTATCACCACCCACCATCATCATTACTACCATCATCACTACCACCATCATTATTACCACCCACCATCATTATCACCACCCATCATCATCATCACCACCCACCATCATTATTACTACCACCATCATCACTACCATCATCATTACCACCACCCACCTACCCCCATCTCCCTCCCCCTACCTACCTATAGGTTTCCAATCATCATCTTCCTTACTTTCATTCTTCTCCAGAACTTCCACTCTCTTTCTTTTGGTCTTCCTACTTCCCTCAACTGAATCCTCTCTTTTTCTTTTTGTCTTCACTCCTTCTTCTTCTCCCGATTCTGATCCATCCTGTTCACTTTTTAACCCATCGTCTACTTCATCCATTCCTACAACAGCTATCGTGTCACATTCCCTTTCATCCACAACGGTTTCATCCTGCTTTGGAACCGCCTTTATAACACTGGGTCTTCTCTGAATTATCACACCACCACTTGTTGTGCTCACATCGTTTGTCATGTTGTAACTGTCTATATGCCCCTCGGTAGAAGCTCTATACCCCGCAGAAGCAGTGTAGTGGTAAATGACAGGAAATGTCAATATGGCATCTAATGCAGGGAAATATCTCCTGACATAACTTGTCGTTGCATATACGATCTAAAAGTATTGGAAAAGAATTAAGTCAAGGTTTTCTATCTTGTTTGTAAAACAGTTCAATAATATAACATGTTGACACGAATGCCAATGAAGCAACCAGCAATGAAGCAACCAAGCTAGGTCATGCTATGCATATTTTTAATGATAAATTTAGAAGCAGGTTTATTAGCAATATGGCATGACCAGTTCCCATGGCTAGCTTCCCAACTGGTAAATGCATAGATGATTTAAGGTATATAGGAGTATACCTATTAATTTTATTATTTTTAGCTTATTTGTAAAAACGTTAGTTGTTGTTACATTGCTGTTGCTTTGAAAAGCAATTATCAGAGGATAATGATCTAAATTCAATTTATTCATTTGAACAATTAAGATAGCAGATCAAATAACTAAATAGATCTTTAATGACAAATACTTTTTTTTGACAAATAATTCAAGAGAGGTGTATTTCTGTCATATGTTGAGTTAATACTATAAAAAAAAAATATACCGTATTTCCTCCATTTAGCCCCCAGCCTATTTTTAGCCCCCCCCCCCCCACACTCTAACTAGCCTCCAACCCAGAAGCACTTATATAACTAAGCCACACCCCTCCTCCCTATTTAGCCCTCATCCCCTAATAATTAAATACTTCTCAATATAATCTTATAGCAGAGTATAAACATTTAAAATTTTATAGAACTTTTACTGATAATGCCGTGTATGAACGTGAAAAAAGAACGTGAAAATATATTTCATGAGCTTCCATGTTTAGCCCCCCTCCCCTCTAATAAGCCCAGAGGGGGCTAAATAGTGGATGTATGGTATATTATTTGTTTCAATAATTCCTATCAATCCTTTATGTCCATACATATATAGAGTTACGTACCACCATTGACAAGCTGGTTTCCTCTTTAATTCGTTCTATTTTATGTTATTGATCTGACTTTGCAGTATAGGTTGAATAACTTCAGAAGACCTTCACCCTGTTTGAAAACAAATTAGAAATATCTAATGATTAATTTAATTGTTAGAAATATGTAATAAGAAGTAGTCAGTTAAAGAATATTGAAATAATCGTAGGCAACAGCAAGAATTAAGCCATATAGCTATAGCATTCTTATTATATACTATATAATAATATGTTTCTGAAATATGTTTATATATATATTATTAGTATAATAATCTACAATACGTATCTTCTCAATAAAATTTTGTGTACATAACCTTTATTTAGTGTTCATATTTTTTTTTAAATAGTGAGTTGCTTACTTTTTACTTTCCCGGAAAAATTAGCTACGTTTAAAGTACACTAAAATTCAAGTTAAAATCAATGTACATAATATGTGTAATCTTATTGTGTATGTATATGTAATATATCCCAGTTCTCATACACTAGCTAAATCTTTACATGAACAGTACATGTTGTAAGCATTGGTTATATATATATATTAAGTGTGTTGTAGTTCACAACCTTTTATATGGGGGGTTCAGATATACTCTGAATACAAAAACTGCATGAGACTAGAATTATACTATATGTATGAAAAGTTGATCCTATCAGAGCCTCTATATTTATCCTCAATTAATTACACATGTTTGTATCAGTTAAGAGCGGAGGGGCACTGTTTTAATTTGCTCTCTAACCACTCAGTACCCTAGCTCTCTTTATATTAACAGTAGAGGTATCTTTTCATGTAAATCGTTTTCCATTTTCCATGTTTATGTACATCGAGTTTCAATCTCTAAAACATCTGCTGTCCAATGATGCATAATATGTAGCACCAGAAATGAATCGTTCTGATAGCAAACCGCACAAATTCCCAATATGAATATTCACCTTGTAATGTCAATGTGTATATCAGAAATTCCGCTTTCTGCCAGTGGTAAAATAGAATAATTTCCTGGTAAATATTTACACTAAAATCGTACGTACGTGAATAGTTGTGGCTTTGTTTTACGATTGATAAGGGTTTACCACAACATGGCTTTCAGCCAGGAACCACAACGCAGACAACGACTGAAACACAAGTACCAGGAATTTCGAATTCAAAACCAAACTGTTTATAGAGAAATATTCAGATCCACGTTAGAGAATGAAGTTAAAAGATTGAAATGTGCCTAACAAACCAAGCAGAAACAGCATTGCGAGCTAACTATCGATTGATCGGTGAGAGACATTGGCAGCCATGATTTGGAATTCTCAAAGACATGCATTCCTGACTATTAGTTTCATACACAAAAGACTACCGGTAAGTTTCATTAAATATATAAACCCCAAACTTAAGCCTATAACTCCGTAATTGTATATCTTTCCAGTGATTGTCCAACCACAATTTCTCTTTGTTATGATGGAAAGATAGGCCTACATTCTTTAAATACACCTTTTTCTATAAGCGCCTTGATTTATATATCCATATTTTCTTTGACTTTGTGGTCACTGACGGTATTCATTCCAAGGTGAAGTTATAATCAGCAAAACGACATGCCATGTATGTCTGCCAAAGCAGTTTTATCCTATCGTTTCAGCTGACTTGTATTTTAGAGAAGACAAATTTAAATCGAAGAAAAATCGTTCATTTGTACAGTCGGTACGACTGTGTTCCAATTTGAATTCCGAGTTTTCTAAGACCGTAATTCGCCCAGGTTTACATCGTTCTGTTTCACGAATGAGCATACATCAAAAGTTATAGTATATAAAAGAGTGGCCTGTATACGCGGCAATATAGTCTTCGCTGCAAAATGTTCGGTGATGGGCGCGGTGTTTCGCTTGTGCGCTAAACGTATCCTAACTTTAATTTACGCCTTAATGTTTTTCGTTTTGCTTCAAAAGCTCTCTTTTGCGAATAAGCAGAAGCTATAATATACAAAAGAACTTGCTGTATGATGAAAAATAATTAAATAGAAGCAATAATCAAGATATATACGATCAAAGTATGTCGAACAGACTATATCGATAATTTGCTTCGTAAGCTGTATAAGACAATTGAGTTTGAAAGTACATCTCTCAAACGTAGCATGATTAAGTAGCTTCCTATATTTCCTATTATTCATATATAGCTACTCGATATAATCAATTTAGCTTCAGACTGATAGAAATGTTCAGATCTAATGGAAGGTAAATCGAAAATATATAAACGCCAGTTCATGGAATTGACTTTGCGGCAATCCCCATCTCACTTCCTTGACCTTGGCGATATCGCGTTTAAGTTCCATTTGAACTGTAGCTAGCAACTCACATTAAAACCATTGTAAAATATGCTCAGTCTACAAATATCACATGCGAGTTCGCATGTAAAAGATCAAAACGCGTGCAGTGGAGTTTATAGTAATTGTCACGCGATGTATAGTCCAACTGCTGTTCCGACAGAAACCTATGCTGCAAAAGTAGTTTTATGAAACCTTTCTCTTGTCTGACTAGAAGGTATATTCCATTTTATAAATGCTAGATACACTTCAAGCATTGAATGAAACATGAAAAACAGTGATACACGGTATAAGGCCGGGAAATTTGATTTTAGCACACACCGCGCGAAGTCCAAGGCATGCATGTTGCAATGGCGACTCGCATCGGATGAGAGCTGATGAGAGTTGGTAGTCACGCATTGTTACGGGGGACATTTCAAGCTCTAGATTAACAAAATAAAGGATAGATGAGTGTTCCTACTATGTTTTAACTTGAATAAACATAGTGATATAGTGTTAGGAAAGCTTTAAGAACAGCTAACCATGATGGCGTGACTGGCAACTCTGGCATGCACAGCTCGCAACCTCGTTTAATCCGTGGCCTTTATTGGGCAATTACTGATAAAGCTTTGATACAAACCTATATTCCTATAGTGGATTACAACCTTTTCTTAGCCAATAACACGGATCTACACCAGTTCAAACCAATGAATTAATCTTGGAGAATGCTCAGTGAATATAAAGTGGTCAGCAGTTGGCCGAGCCGCACTCGAGTATGCATGTTTCTAGGACACTGTATCAATTACAATTATCGTCAAATACGATTTGTATGTCTCCTCGTCGCCTGACCGCATAAAGAAAATTTAAGAGATTCAAACCTTGCTTTCTAAACAGAATTTGCTGCATTCTATAATATAGTATCAAGTAGCTTATTTTCTGTAGAATATATACATGTGCATGAGATCATCGATCATTGGACATTGCCCATCAGCATATAACTATATGACTCTAGCTATCTTTCTGCAACATGTTCAGCTGAACTCATACATGAAATACACAACACAACTCATAAAGACCTGACAAAAATTACACATTTCTACAGCATTTTAAAGACTTGGATGAAACGAGGATGAGATGAGTTAGTTATGAGAGTTGGCAGTCTCGCGATCTTGGTTAGCTGTTCTTAATGCTTTCCCAACACTATCATGTATTCTATTGAAGTTAAAACATAGTTGGAACATTCATCAAACCTTATTTTGTTAATCTAGTGCTTGAAATATCCCCTGTAACAATGCGTGACAGGCAACTCCTATTCTAGCTGACCTTGGCTTTTTCAACGAGTTTTTTGTAAACCAGTACATGCATGTGATTTAAATCATTACATATATAGCATTCCAGTTAACCTATCACAACAAGACATATTACATATATATTGTGCACGATATCAAGTGTGCACAAGCCAAAATTTTGTGGTACATTTTACAAGTCCTAAAACATGATAAAAGCGGCATTTTCTAAACATTACAGATAGGCAAGCGCATTGCTATAATGTTACCGTACATTAAAAAACTGGATCAAGTCTATGTCACACTCAGCATTCAATCTTCATGCCATATTTCGCATATGTCTGAGGGCATCGATCAAGATTGTGTGCACAAGAAAAAATTAAAGTGGCAAATGGAATCGTGCTGGGCAAACTATAGACGTTCTGGACATTCAAAGTATGCATGCAGATATAACCCAAGACTACATTAAATTTAATTGTACTGTACCGATCAAAATTAAAACGGTTTAATTTCAATTTAAGCCTGCATATACATATTCATTGTCAATGATCATTGGCATACAGATTACAGATTTCAGTATATACCGATCAATGATCAAAATATAAACGACATTTCTGTGCATTAAAAAGTACAAATATATATATTTACCTATAAATTTACTGTACTATACCTAGCAAAATTGGATTTGCAGGTTTAATTTTTCCTTTCCATATATCTATAACCTGAGTATATGGTTTATAGTATATCGTCTATACAGACTATAGTATACTCACACACATTATACAAGCTGAATAAAACTACATAAGGCCTTTTCCTGCACATATATTTTCCCCATTGCTATAATATGTTATTGTAATACCCTAAGATACCATAGTATAGTGATATGCCCCTACAGTAACTTAAGTATATATATTAATATATACACCGGTTTGCAGATATGACATGGGGAGACCAATTCAAAAACTTGTCGGTATATACCGTAATATATACTCGGCTATTTTATTAGACTAGCGTGCAAATCAGCAATCCTCATAAAATATATATTAAAATTGGGCTAAAAATGTTTCGGTAAATTACAAGCATGTAATAAGTTATATATCTTACCTTGTAATCTTGACCTCTGAGCTCAGTATATTTTTATAACAAGCGCATGTATTTGAAAAATGTATATAATAAGTGTGCTTCCCGAGTGTGAAAATCCGTGAAATTAGCTCGCAGTTCAAAAAGACAACGTATCTCGTTTGATTTAATCTTTAAACTGTGCAAGTTTTGCCTTCTAACAGCTTTCGGGAGTTGAACTCATTCATGGAGGATGGTTTGACATGAACTGGCGATCCTCTTGTGCCGTGTTCCTTTTAAAGCCTCTCACTGCCAGCCTTCTTGCGTAATAATACGCACGTCCGGTGGCTTTGTCTGGCCCGCGAAAATCGTCATCCCGCGCGTGGAGAAAACTTCGAGTAGCGTGCTGACGTCAGACGCAGTGCGCTCGATGCTCACGCGGTCACGATTTCTCACAAACGTAATCGGATAGGCCACAGCGTTCGTCTTGCAACTCTTTAGATATTGTTATAAGTAAGGTACTTTTTGTTTATCAACAAGTAATAATTGTCCAAAAATACGCATTAAAACTGTATTGAGCCACCTTAAAGAGACTAAGAGTTGACGAGAGTCGCAAGTGTCACTCGCGTTTGCTCGCCGACTCTCACTGCGTTCACAGTGGCGGGAATTTCGCTGGGGTTTGGGTCTGGGGGGGTAACCCCCAAGAGTTGAGAAAAATCTCATGCAAACTCTCGCTTCTCAACTCTCATCAAGTCTCGTTTGTATTGACCAGAACTTATAGCATGTGTGAGTTTATTAGAAATAAGTGAAACGTTTAGGAACTTTGAATGTTTTAGAAATACGAGTGTTTCAGTGTAGCTACAATAGATAAATATGGATTGTGAATTCACAACTTTTGATATTGCAAGTTGTTTTTACTAGTTAGAAGAAAGATATTGGAACAAAGATAACCTAGCATTACATGTATATATAACTCACATTTATTGATCTCGTATATTATGTTAATTATTCGAGGGTCGATCCATGGATTAAATAAAAATCGTAGCGTTAACTACGACTATGCGGAATCTTTTTCAGGTACTGTAGTAATTCAGACACAAACCACGACAGCTTATTGTAGAATACTACCTACACTGGACCACCACGTTTGAGATATCTTTTTCAGGTAGTTCAGACACAAACCACGACAGGTTATTGTAGAATACTATACCTACACTGGACCACTACGTTTCATGAGATATCTTTTTCAGGTAGTTCAGACACAAACCACGGCAGCTTGTTGTAGAATACTATCTACACTGGACCACCACGTTTGTGATATCTTTTCGGATAGTTCAGATACAAACCACGTCAGCCTGTTGTAGAATACTACCTATACGTTGGAATTCAAACACAAAAATCACGGTAGCTTAATTGTTGTACAATATCATTTCAGATTTGTACGTATTTGATAACTGTCAAATATACTAGTTGGATTGCAAAGAGACATGTCATTTCTATATTATTTTCGATTCAATTGGTTTCAACATTTTTAAAATGAACCGGAATTTATTTCTCAAGCAACCTCTTGACAATAAATACAAATTTGCTGTGAGTTCAATAACTACATGTGCACTGACCTTGCACACCTATATTATTACACATTTCATTAGTCTAACAATTACCATTAATTTTATATATTATCTGATTACTTTTGTCAATTCGTGCATTAAATAAAGAAACTTCAAGTTTCACTGTCGCCTTGATGCTGCCCACGCATAGCGCCTTTCTACGCCATGGTTCCTCGCTTTATATAATCACAGATTCCGTAAAATTCACTTTTTAAGTGAACCAGCCAATCAAATTGCTTGCTATTGAATCATCGTAAATCATCGTAACGAACTTCGAAAGAAACTTCGGAACTTTACAACGAACATTCCGAATTTACAAGTAAACATTGGAAGTCAGTTTTGAAAAGCAAATTGAAATCGAGAGTAATATATTTCTTTGTTTCCTATAAAGTCTTTGTTTCCAATGACGTAATTTTGGGATTTCAGTTGACGGGCAGGTATAACAAAAAACCGGCTATTTTAATGTATTGATCGAGTTTAGAGACAGTTCAAGACTCAAAAGATGCGCAAGTCAGTTTTGGCTTCCTACAACAAGTTGTTTGATTGCCCGTCATTTGGATGAAACGTCACGTGATTGCAAACAAAGAATAGTACAAAAATTGGCCAAGAGACAGCTGACGTAGCAAATAAATGCCTGTACGCAGGCTTTGACGTGGCATATTTGATGTGTTTTTGTAAAACATGATGGCATTAATGACGTCGACTCAATCGGAATACTACGATACGATAGGATTTGAACATACATAATTTTCAAAGTCGTGATGGACCGTGTCGTAGGCTAAGAATATATTACTGTATATCCAGAGAGGATTAATCATAGGCATAGCCCCTCCGTTAAATCATGGCCGATAATCGTCTTATTTCGCTCTTCGATTCATTTTCGTACAACTCTCTTGTAAAATTTTGCAAATGGTAAAGTCTGATGAGTAATGTTCACGATTCTAGCTACTTTTCATTTTCAATGTTTTACATTAATAATTCGTATCTTCTTTGTCTTTTGATATATTATGTCCAGTTATTCTATATAGCTCGTGGTTAATCTTTGATGCATTCCATTGTATCATGTTCGTTTAATCTGCATAACCTTCTCGTATCGTGTTCGGTTAATCATCGCAGTCCTCTCGGACTGAGCCGTATGCCGTTCACCTGTCTCGCTCCATCTTTTACCAAGTCACTTCAAAACCTGCACACCTTAAATATGTATTTTCTTGGAGTGCCTCGCAAGGTGACTTGGGTTGTTAAAAGCTCGCCCGCACGCCTGACATTTGTAAGGCTTCTCGCCCGTGTGTGTGAACATATGTCGGCGCAGGTTGCCCGAGATTGAGAAGCGTTTGTCACAAAGTTCACACGCGTAAGGTCGTTCCCCCGAGTGGGTTCGGAGGTGTATCACCAGGGCACTTGGTTTCTTGAACCGCATACCACATTCTTTGCACATGTGACGTTTGTTTTCTACAAAAGAAAAGGAGCTATTTATTATTAAAATTAACTACATGATAAACTAAATATTATATTTTATTTCGATTAAAATTATTGAGACTGAAATAACCGAAATGGATTTTTGTCCCACCTATGGGCAATTCCAGCTTTTAAATTATGCGCGCAGGGGATGACGGGAAGTAAGGTATCATATTGTTGATTATGCTGAAAATTTTCAATAAAAACTGCCGAAACAACTGAAATATTTCAATATTTACAAGTATAAGCTGTCACTCCGTGTTTACACGGCCGCCATTTTTATTTTTTTCAGCATAATCAGCAATATGATACCTTACTTCCCATCTCCCCCTGCACGCAAAGCTGGAATTGCCTATTGTTTTGGCATATTTGTGACATTATTAACCCATGTTATCATTATTAAAATCAAACAGGGCAAAGCTAGCCATGGCAACTGGTCATGCTATAGTAATGAATCTGCATCTAAATATGTCAAGTATAGGTTAAAGACAATACATTTCTAAAGGCTTGAATAATGCAAATCATTACAAATTTGCATAGCATGACCTGTTGCTATGGCTGGCTTTATGGTACAGAAAAAACCTGCATGAAAGAATCAGTAGGTTAAAATAACTACTATCACCAAACACCATCATTACTAGCACCGTCATAATCATCACCACCTGAAATTTAGGCATCTAAGCACCCAAAATACAAGAACCACCATCATCACCATTATCATTATCATTATCAGCACCCACCACCATCATCACTACCACCATCATCACTACCACCATAATAACTATACCATCATTACTACCACCATCATTACCACCTAAACTTTAAGCATTTAAGCACTCAAAATACAAGAACCACCATCATCACTACCTTCATCATGATCACCACCCACCACCATCACTACCATCACCATCACTACCATCATCATCACTACCACCATTATCACTACCATCATCATCACTACCATCATCATCACTGCCACCATTATCACTACCATCATCATCACTATCATCATCATCACTGCCACCATTATCACTACCATCATCATCACTACCATCATCATCACTGCCACCATTATCACTACCATCATCATCACTGCCATCATCATCACTACCATCATTACTACCACCATCATCATTGCTACCATCATCATCACCACCCACCATCATCATCACATCATCATCGTCAGCACTACCACCATCATCACCAAACAACCATCATCATTACTACCATCATCATCACCACCCACCATCATCATCACCATCATCACCATTACTACCACCATCATCACTATCACCACCCACCATCATCATCACCACCCACCATCATCATCACCACCCACCATCATCATCACCACCCAC